TAGGAGTCTCTCTCTCTCTCTCTCTCTCTCTCTCTCTCTCTCTCTCTCTCTCTCTCATCCTTTACAAATCTTTTGGGATCCACAAAGCAGTAATCATTCACACTCAAGACGGAAACTAGATTGAGAAATGTTGATCTGAACACTGAACACTGAACAAGCACACCCACCCTCCCTCCCTCCCTCCCTTCCACCGAAAAAAAAACCATACTATCTAAATTGCAGGTGTCATAAAATACATAGTATATTTTACGCGCTGCGGTGTCTTATTTGTAAACTCTGAGAAAAAAGGTCACCACCAACCAGGAGCAAATATTCTCACTGTTCTGCCTGTCCATAGAAGTACAGACTGACCCAGCAAACCGAGAGATCTGCACATTGTCCTGACGGGGAATGGATGGCCTGAGGGGTCAGCAGAATCTCCCGATAACACGGGCTATAATTGCTTCGATTTGCTGCCAGATTATCTCTGTGCTAGCCCTGCGAGTTGCTGCTGGGGCTGTGGTGTGGTCTGCGCTTTCTGCTTCTTTTCTTATGACTGATATCCTATTCTGTTCTTGGGGAAAAATTGTTGTTACGGAGCTGATCAATTGTTGACTGCAACATGTACTTAGTAACACGACTACGATAAGCAACTGCAGCAGCAATGGTAATAACAACAACAACAACAAAAGCAAAAACAACAACAATAACAACACCACTGACGACAACAACAGTAACAACAACACCATTGCTATCACCTCCACCACAGCCACCACGACCACCATCAACACCACCACGACTACCATCACCACCACCACACCATCATCATCATCATCATCATCATCATCATCATCATCATCATCATCATCATCATCATCAACAACAACAACAACTACAACAATAACAACTACAGCAGCAGCAATGTTAACAACAACAACAACAACAACAACAACAACAACAACAACAACAACAACACTTCTGCCACCAACAAGAATAAGTAAACTAAAGGATAAATCATCTTTCTTGTTTGATGTCCTCTTAACCACATTTCCTTCACCAACACAGTGGTCAATAATCTAACCACAAGATGACATATCTATCACAAGTTTAGTAGGGCGTTAAATTAGACAAAACAAAGTATTAGAAACAAACAGAAGCCACCCTAAACAGCGTGTCCTCTGACTTCCAAAGACAGCATTCCCTGATCATCTCCCTCGCTCACCCGCCACGCTGAGTCGCTTAATTGAGTTGTTTGAACGGCCAAATGCAATCAGTACTCGTCAAGGGATTGCATGAAGCGCTCGAACCCAATCGGCCCGCACCGCTGTTAATTGTCTGGCATAACGAGGCCAGTTATTTCCCAATGAATCTGTCGGCCAACTGGACAGAGGCTCGCCTTTCTAATGGCTCGTTCGGAGGATCTCTCGTCGCTCGCCGAGCAGATCCCATCTCGTTTCCACTTGGTAATTGTTGAGTACTACCACTGAGGGGCGGCGGGCGGGGTGGCTTTAATTTGTCTGCTGCTTCCTCTCCGTGCTTGTTTGGTTGGTCATGGGGTGGATGTCGTGTGGGGCTCATCTTTTTTTTTTTTTTTTTGCTGGAGAAAAGGTGAAACAGTGTCTAGAGTTAAGCTTAGCTTTTTTTTTGCTTTCTTTTTTTTTCGTTGTGGATGGAAAAAGAGACTCGAAGTAATGCTTTGTATTTCGTCGTCTAACATCTTTGATTGTTTTTGTAAAGTTTGCTTTACAGAGATCGACAGAATAGTCCTTGCACATTATCGTCACTGCTAAAGATAACAGTTTCTTAAGGTTTCGTATGGGTCTAAATCGACAATTTCCACTTAACCCAACTCTTTTTACGATAAGGCGTTACCTTTTCCGGACTAAGCCAGAACTGCTTGGGGTTCCAATTCGGGATAAAAAAGAGAAACAGACATACAGAGAGTAAGAAAAACGGAGAGAGAGAGAGAGAGAGAGAGAGAGAGAGAGAGAGAGAGAGAGAGAGAG